TCTAGACTAAATTCGGTCGTATGTGCCAAATTCCATCCCATTTGGGCAAATATTAGACGTTTGGTGCACAATAAAAGGTAAATCGGACGAAGTTATATATGGGAGCTATATCCAAATCTGAACCGATCTCGATAAAATTTATTAAAGGTATTTCTGAGCTGCATTTGATATATTTCCCCAAATATTGTTGTTACATAGTGCATATTACGGCTGCGGAGGACAAAAATAACAAATCGGATGATCAATATATATGGGAGCTATAGCTGTATCTGAACCGATTTCGATCAAATTTGGCATTACAAAGGCAAACAAGTAAAAAAACAGTAATTTCGACCGGGCCGAACTCTAAATTCTCTCCGCCATTTGGAACGCATGTGGAAATTTTCAAAAAAATAAAATTCGTTAAAAAGCCTGTTAAAATCTTATTAATACTAAATATAGAAAGTCGCCTTTATATTGGGGTCTATACGAAGACGTGGACCAGCATAGGCAACATTTGTCAAAGGCCATTAAAATTTTCCAACATGAAAATTGAAAAAACTGGTGAATAATATAGCCAAAATCATCAAAATACGGAATGTAGGGAGGTACCGTTATATGGGGCTATACGAAGACTTGTAACTACATGGACAAATTTATGTCACAGACTGTAGTACCCATTAGGAAGTACAAATACGAAATTAGAAACAATTCCGACGAATAATTTCGCTAAAATCATCAAAATACGGAATGTTGGGAGGTACCGTTATTTGGGGACAATACGATATCGTGGACCTATATAGACAATACTATTTCAGATGGTAAAGTACTCCAAGCGAACTTTGTAGGGTCTATAATATATTTATATTTGGCTGGAAAACCACAAGTGACTATCGTTAGAACACTCCAACATTTAAATGTGAATAAATCTTTTGTATCTCGTACCATCGCTCGTTACCGTGATACTGGTAGCGTAGCCCGACGTCAAGGAAGTGAACGAAAGAAAAGAGCAACTTGATCGACTTGATCGCAGTGGGCGAAAAATGGCTTGTGAGCTGAACATATCGCAATATTCCATTCGGCAAATATTGAAAAATGAGCTCGGGGTAAAGCCATTAAAATTCCAAAAAGTGCAAGAACTTACACCGCAACAGAAAGAAAATAAAGAGTTGCTTCGCTTGGCCGAAATGCTGAACTGTCGAATTTGGTTTTCTCCGATAAGAAAACAAAAACAATCAAAATGACCGTGTTTACTTGCCAAAGAGATCAGTTGAAAATGTGCACCTTCGGTTGGCCACCAGAACTGAAGCGCCGGTCACGGTAATGGTGTGAGCCGCCATAACAGCCTTCTATTAATCGACCGTGGCTTCAGAATAAATGCCGAATATTACCGCGAAAAAATATTCTGGCGGGTGTAATAAAGCCTTGGACATGCAAACATTTTGGCCGCATACCTTGGACATTCCAACTGGACTCAGCACCATCGCAGTCAGCACGCACCACCCAAGAATGGTTACAAAATTAGGTTCCTCGCTTCATTTTCAGTGCCCAATGGCCACCAAAATCCCGGATACCAATCCGTTGGACTATTGTGTCTGCAGTATTTTGGAAAGCAAGGTTGGCACTAAAAAATACCAAAGTGTCGATCACCTCAAGCAAACGCTTCGCCGGGAATGGGCCAAAATACCGCAGAGCAACATTCGGGCAGCGTGTGACGGTTTCATTGATCGTTTGAAAACCATAATTCGTGCCAAAGGTGACCAATACGAACATATCTTAGCTTATTCTAAAATTTGATACTATTTTCGACATTTTTGCTTTCATTCAATGAAAGTTAAAAAAAATGTAAAAATTATGGCGTTTGACTTTGTTGCAGTTTTTATACCCTCCACCAAAAAAGGTATGGAGGGTATATTAAGTTCGTCACTCCGTTTGTAACTCATCATCATAATCATTTTAGACCCAACAAAATATATATATTCTTGATCAGCGTAAAATTCTAAGACGATTTAGCCCTGTCCGTCCGTCTGTCCGTCTGTTGTAATCACGCTACAGTCTAAACGAATTAAGATAGGAAGCTAAAATTGTGCACAGATCTCTCTTTTGTCTGCAGGCAGGTCAAGTTCGAAGATGGGCTGTATCGGTCCACGATATCGTATAGCCCCCATATAACGGTACCCCCGATATTCGGTATTTTGATGATGTTAGTCACATTTTTCAATGGAATTGTCTGAAAATCCACACAAGTAGTTCCTTGTGCGTACTTTATACCTCGTCATATAATTATCTATATAGGTCCACAATATCGTATAGCCTCCATATAACGGTACCCCCCGATATTCGATATTTTGATGATTTTACCCACATTTTTCAAAGGAATTGTCTGAAAATCCACACAAGGAGTTCCTTGTCGGTACTTTATACCTCGGCAGAGAATTATCTATATACGTCCACAATATCGTATAGCCCCCATATAACGGTACCCCCCGACATTCGGTATTTTGATGATTTTACCCACATTTTTCAACGGAATTGTCTGAAAATCCACACAAGGAGTTCCTTGTCGGTACTTTATACCTCGGCAGAGAATTATCTATATACGTCCACAATATCGTATAGCCCCCATATAACGGTACCCCCCGACATTCGGTATTTTGATGATTTTACCCACATTTTTCAAAGGAATTCTCTGAAAATCCACATAAGGAGTTCCTTGTGGGTACTTTATACCTCGGCAGAGAATTATCTATATAGGTCCACAATATCGTATAGTCCCCATATAACGGTACCCCCCGATATTCGGAATTGTCTGAAAATCCATACAAGGAGTTCCTTGTGAGTACTTTACACGCAGACATAGATTTGTCTTTATAGGTCCACAATATCGTATATCCCCCCATATATCGGCACCTTCCTATATTAGATATTTTAAAGATTTTAAAAGAATTTTTATTGGGTTTAATTTTTTTGAAAAATTTCTAATTCGTTCCAAATGGTGGAGGGTATTCGAAGATCGGCCCGGCCGAACTTACTGCTTTTTTACTTGTTTTATCTTACCATGTAGATCTATGTTTTGGCATAGTCCGCATATAGCTGCACATCCATATATTCAGTATTTTGATAATTTGTTTCACATTTTTCATCGAAAACGTTTAAATTTGGAAATTGTAGTTCCCAATTGGTTATTCATCCTATAACAGAAAATTACATATGCAGTCTCAAGTCTTCGTATAAGCTCCAAATAACGATATCTCCCTATATTCCGTATGTTAATGATTTTAGCGACACTAATCACAGGAATTGTTTCAAGTTTCGTACTTAAATATCGTGATGACCTATGACAAAAATTGCATACACAGGTTCATGTCTACGGATACTCCATATTCAGTATGTTTATGATTTTAGTAGAGAGATTTGATAAATTCTTTATGAATATTGAGATACTTCGCTCAGTTGTGGTTGATTGGCTGACAATTTTTTTATATCCTTTTGTTTGGAATCCTAAGCTATATATAAAAGTTTAAAAAGTGGGCTTAAACCATGCTTTATGCTTTAGTTTGCAATTTTTCTCTCTTTTACTTGTTTCTTGCATTAATATATATAGTTTTTTTTTTCAATTGTCATCATTTTTATAATTTTTTCTTTCAGAAAAATAAACAAATAATAATAATAAATGAAATTATGATCAAAATAAATTCACAAAAAGAATTGTCAGTATGAGCATTTTTTTTTCCTATCCCTTACCCTTCTCTCCTACAAAGAAATAATTGCCACAGGAAAACATGACTAATATTAATTCGAACTTAAATAAAAATCTAAAATTTCAAAAATATTCAAAGAATGGGTGTTTTTCTTTCCAGTTTATTAAAAAGCATCAACAAAACTTTCAAATATATGTCGTTTATCTCTTTATTTAATTTATCACGAAGCAAATGCTAAATTTCGTGGCAATCCCGCAAATATAACATATTCAAAAATATGTTTCCTTATTTTGGTACACCCTATACATATTATAATGCATAATACATATCTATAGAAACCAATTCAATATACACCCTCCTCCATCTTATACTTCTTCATCTTACCTTGAATCTTTAATAAAGTTACCGATAGATAACACCCTCTATTAGATATGTATCGATGCGAATTTTGTTAATTTGTTCTTTCCCAACATACCAAATTGACTTGAGAATAATATTTTAATAAGCTTACAAACATAAGCCTAAAGCTTGAGAAAATCTTGAGAATGTATTGAGAAATGTTTGTTTAACAATTATAGAATAATCGAAAAGGAACCCTTATTCATAAGCTTATTCTTGTAATTGCAGAATAAGCTTACGAAAGTAATATTTTATAAAGCTTATTTTTTCAATGGTAAAAAATATTTATTTATTCATTTTTTAATTATTTTACACATTTCATTCATTGATTGCCATCCCAGCTGTCACTGCATCCTGTTGCCTTGATACCTAGATGCTTTCTTTCCCCTTATTTGAGCTTCTGTATCTCCTCCACTTATTCTCCACTTCTGTTGAATTTCTGCAACATTTTGACGCCTCCATTTTGAAATGAGATTGAAATAATTTATACTACAGATTCCCAGATTTATTATTCATCATTACCTTAGAGTTTCGTCCGGAAATGGGTCCTAAATTCGCGTGATTTTGATTTTAACCAAAGAAAATAATTTTTTGTTGACAATTTTCACAAAAAAAAAAAATCAAAACAAATTTGTCAACAAAGGACAGATTTGAGAAAAGTTTGTGCAAAAAAGTGTTTCTCAAGCATTGTTGAAAAATTCTTATGATAAACTATTTTCATAATATTATTCTCAAGCTGTATTGTATTTTTGGTATGTTGGGTTGTCTGGATGTGGTTCTGGGTGTATGTGGGTGTGTGTAAATAAATAAATAAAATACACATGTATCTATGTGTATGTGTACATACATACGAGAAATACCCAGGTTAGCTACTGCAGCGGACAAACACTTGTTATTAGGAATAATAAGAAAATCACTTACCTTTAATTTGTCCTTAAGGTATCTTCTTCGACGGTGTTCGGTTTTTCAGCTTTCTTCTTCGTTTTTTTTTTTTTTTTATTTTATTTTCTTGTCTTCTTATGTTAAAATTCAGCTGGCTACACTTCGGTTATTATGATTTGATATGTGATTTGAAATCTCAACTGTTGGTCAAATATTTTATTCTTTTTCAATTGACAATTACAATTTGTGGATATGGGTTTATTTCAATTTCTTTTGATATTGTAGTCACAAACAACACAATATTTTTTCTGAAAATAATTTTCCAATACCAATTTTTTTCTCTTGTCAAATTTTCTTTTGCAAAGTATTTTTTCAATTTATTTATTTAGGAAAATTTTCGATTCGTTAAAAAATTCACCAAAATCTCTAAAACGCAGAAAAGATTTTTATTTGCTAAATTTTTCCTTATTCTTCTTCTCTTTTTATTGTTGCTGTTTACTCTTCAGTTTCTAATTGAAATCCTTTAGGCTATTGTTGTTTTTGTTTTTTGATTTCACTTAAGATTTTGTTTTTTGTCCGAATGAGACTTTTTCTCGTTTCGCTTTCCTTTTGTTGTAGGAATTGTTTTTATATCACTGAACTTGTTTTCCTCAGATATTTTCTTTAGTATGCTTATGTGCGTGTGTGTACATGTGTTCGTACCTGTTTTTTTTTATTTTATAAATAAATAAGAAACAAAAACACAACACTTTTCTATCTTCAGCTTTATATTATTCTCAGTGAATAGGTCTGGTGGCCTAGTGACTAACTAAACACACTTTGACTTTGAGTGCTGCTGGTTGGTCACATCAACTGGAGCTCAAAACTCTTCGACGTCTCTAACTAAACTGATATGAAAATCCTAAAATACAACATCTTAAAAACCGAAACTATATTCGCAAGGCATACGGGAATGTATAACACTATCAATAAACCGTCGTGAACATGTCCGAACACAGTCTCTCGCACATTTCTTTTTCTGAGTGTCGCTTTTACTGGGGGCTGGTATCTCAGTCGACGACAACCCCTTTAAATTTAGCTCTCATTTTGGGGAAACATCTCATTCGCTCGCTCTTTAACTCTCCCGAAGAGGTAAAACTGTTATACACATCTCCAACAGCCGTTGCTTTGAGCTAAGCTTCCCAAAAATAACAAAAAAAAAGCTTTATCATTTTTTCACAAAACAAATAAACAAAGCCCCACTACTCAGTCACTCACACACACACACAAACTCACTCACATTTAGTCCTTTTGTTTATCCATTATGTCTTCGCGTGTCTGTGTACGTTCGTGTTACGAGTATGCCCGTAAAACACTTTTTTACCTGGTTTATGTTTGTTTATTATTATATTGTATTCTTGTTGTGGCCGTTGTTGTGGCTCGTTTCGTTGCGACGAGCTTTTAAGGTTCTTACGAGAGTATATTTATTTTGTATCTTCTTGGCTTACTTACTTTCATCGCCACAACAAACACAATAACACAGAAACACACATACTTCCTTACATACATATCCAAAATACAAAAAGACACAAACACACAGCCAGAAGCTCTCAGACCCACATTTAAATGTGGCTACACGTGTACGTGTATTCCATTCCCATCCAGGACAAAACCAAATTGACACAATAAAGTGGTATTGCCGGAGCCTTATCATTTTTGGAGGCAGTTCGAAACTCCGGGCTAGAAACAAAAAACAGGAGCACAAATGCACATACCTCTGACCTAAGACTGATGTAAGCCGTCCTCCGAAATGCTCGAGTTTCACTCTCCTCTAGAGTTCGAGCCGGAGTACCCCCTACTTGGAAAATAGTAATCTTCGTGTAAAACTCGTACTACTCGAGCACAATCGCTCATATCTATATTTCATTTACAAGCAAAAACATCTGAGCTCTGGATTAAAATAATACCCAGATTAAAATTGAGTTTCATATGGTTCAATTCATATGAGACATATGTAGGTATGACGTTTTCGAACAATTTTTACAATACATAGTATGGAGGGTATATTAAGTTCGTCATTCTGTTTGTAACTCATCGAAATAATCATTTTAGACCCAACAAAGTATATATATTCTTGATCAGCGTAAAATTCTAAGACGATTTAGCCATGTCCGTCTGTTGTAATCACGCTACAGTCTAAACGAATTAAGATAAGAAGCTAAAATTTTGCACAGATCCCTCTTTTGTCTGCAGGCAGGTCAAATTCGAAGATGGGCTATATCGGTTCACGATATCGTATAGCCCCCATATAACGGTACCCCCGATATTCGGTATTTTGATGATTTTAGCCACATTTTTCAACGGAATTCTCTGATAATCCACACAAGAAGTTCCTTTTGGGTACTTTATCTCTTGAAAGAGAATTATCTATATAGGTCCACGATATCGTATAGCCCCCATATGACGGTACCCGATATTCAGTATTTTGATGATTTTAGCCACATGTTTCAACGGAATTCTCTGATAATCCACACAAGGAGTACCTTATGGATACTTTATACCTCGGAAGAGAATTATCTTCGTTCGGTCCCACGCCTCTCACACCCGCCCCTGCCGACCGAGGGGGCAACCTCCCTATAACGTAGAGAGCGCGTACACACCAAAGTCCGGACCAAGGCGGGTTAGCAATGGTTTTACACCGGCTACAGAAACTACATCAGCCAGTGGTTAAAATACAAAAGACGTTTTAAAAGTCACACACAGATTAGTAAACATAAATTTACAAAGCAACAATCTACAAGCACTGCGCATTGGCCACGTCTACTGTTCCGCATAGGGATTGTAGATCAGATGCCAGATGATCAAGCAGCTTGATGAAGTAAAACAAACATTATATAACATGTACAACTGGTGCTCAAAGGCGAAGTTCTACTGGTTCCGCGGAGGGAGTTGTAGATAATATGCCGTAAAAATGAGCTTATAGAGTAAAGAAGACATAAATATAAGGTTACATAAACAAAATATTAGCATAGACATAGCACAACAAAAATTACATATGCAGAATACAATTTTTTATTGTGTTCAAGGGACTATATAAGCAAATAGTGTTACATAAACTGTTATAAATTACACAAAGTGATCTCAGTGGGCTATTAAGTTCATAATTTCTTCTTGCTATGGACAATTTTAACGGTTCAAAATTGCGAGTTCTACGAAAGGGAACATTATAGTTTATTTCACCAGTGAGAAAAGGGGAATCAATCAATCCACGTAATAATTTTATGATAAATAATGCTCTTAACATAAAACGTCTTTTTTCAAGAGATGGAAGATCGATTAACATTAAACGACTCTCGTATGGCGGAAGAAGTTCAGAGGGGTTCCAATTTAAACCACGCAAAGCGAAAATTGAAAACTGAATTTGTACCGATTCAATTTTATCAGAATAATATTTATAAAATGGACTCCATAATATACAACCATATTCTAATACTGGACGATCTAGACTAACAAACATTCTTTTGGTTACGTAAGGGTCATTAAACTCTTTTGACCAACGCTTGATAAAGCCTAGTAAAGATTTAGCTTTATTAACACAAGAATCAATGTGTAAATGAAACCGTAGCTTAGGATCTAAGTGTCGATCGCCTCAAGAGCTTCACCGAGAATAGGCCAAAATACCGCAGAGCAACATTCGGGCAGCGTGTGACGGTTTCATTGGCCGTTTGAAGGCCATAATTCGTGCCAAAGGTGAACAATTCGAACAAATCTAAACTTATTCTAAAATTGTATGCTATATCCGACATTCTAGCTTTCATTAAATAACATTTAAAAAAATGTAAAAATTATGGCGTTCGACTTTGTTGCAGTTTTTTATCTCACCCTGTAAATAGTAATAATAATAAACTTTTTTGTAACAAACTTCATTCTATAGAAAAGCTTGGGTAGCAATAACTTAAATTTGACATAAGTCAATAAAATTTCAAGACAACTACAAAAACACATGTTATCACCTTACAATTCCGTAGAGTAGACGGTGTCAATATTAGGGATTTGTAGAACTCCCACGATGTTTGGTATCACATATATTTACAGCACTTATGTAAAGATGCCTTGCGATTTTCAGTATTTGAAGGGTTCAGCCACAACTTCAAACCGAATTAAGTAATGTTCACATTTAATATTTTCAGGAAAGATAATTTTTTTCCTTAACAGCAATGTTCGGTATAGGTCTATTGTTTAAACATTTTGAAGGTTGCAATATCGTGTTTTAAGTTATCTGGTGGCAAAACTTATATATGATGGCTAGGAATTACAAGCAAGTTTAGAAATATAATAAAATCATATCAAATAGACTGTTCAAACAAAACAAAGAAATAAACTACTCAGACATAATATAAATCTTTTATCAGCAGAATAATCAATTGTGTGCCATAAATATGTATGTACACACAGTAATGGAATTATCTCAGAATGGCACGTCAAAAGCTGTGAGGTATACGACACAGACTTATCATGTATAATACCTTTTTCAACATTCCCTCCTTGCAGAGAACAGTGATTTAGACACCATGTGATGGTACCTCTCTATTTTTGAAAAATTCCAAATTCTTCCCAAATGGTATTCAAAGTTCGGCCTGGCAGAGCTTACTGATTGTTTACTTGTTCGTTTTAATTTTTTTTTATAATTTTACAAATTTTTACTGACTCTATTTTTATCAGCAAATCCATAAATTTATTGTATTATAATTAATTTACGAGATTTTTAAAATAGCTGTTATCAGCTGCTTAAATTTTTTGAAATGTCATTCAATTATTTCTCACTTAAAGAGAGTTTAAGTAAAAATAACAGTTTTCTCTCTGTTTTAGAAGATGAGTGCCCGCTGACAAGCAACAAGGTACAAATACATGGTGTCCGTCCGTCTGTTAATTTTTTTCTATCTAGTGCGCACGATAACTCTCAGAGATTATTCGATTTGGTCCAAACTTGGTACATTGTATCAAACGTAGATCGAATTCGGCCATGGGAAATATCGGTCCACTCCTTCTGGCAAGTCTCACACAAAAGGTCAAAATTTTAGAAGGAAACATTTTACTTCATAGAAAGAGAAATGCTTATCGGACTTTGCAAAAGCTAGTATTTGCGGTCCACACTATCAAGTACCTCCTCTACAAAGGTCAAAATTTTTTACAAAAAAATTGATTGTTATGAAATTTCGCACATACCAATATTTCTGTTCGGTAGATGGTGGGTAAATCGGATATATCGTTCCATTCCTTCTAGTGCCTCCCCCCGAACGGATCAAAATTTTCAATAACCATGAAACTCAGAAAACGCGAAATGAGCGTCCGATTATTCACTTTAGGTACATCCCAATATTCCTATCAACACAAAATCAGATGTGAATATGAAATATAAGGGATCGGCACGTGCAAATTTTTCCATCAAAGTAAGATCTAGTGTGAAGATAGAACATATCGTCCCTCTGCTTCTGGTACCTCCACCAGAAGAGCTCAAAATGTAGGTTAATAATAACTCTCGTAAAATGCAAAATAAGCATTCGATTCTCTTCAAATTCCCCACATCCAAATTTGTCTGTTATCACAATATCTGTTGTGAAAATGGGATGATTCAGTCTATCCCTACAAAGCGGTTGAAATTTTAAATAACCCTGAAACTCATAAAACTTGAAATGAGCATCCGATTCTTCGCACATCCCAATGTTTCTGCGAACACAAGATCTATTGTGAAAATGGGATATATTCGTACACTTCTTCCCGTACCTTTCCCACAACGGGTAAAATTTTACACTAATTATTAGTCTCATAAAATGCGAAATAATTTAAAATTCAAAGGATTAAATATGCCGAAGCATTTGTATCTTTTAAATTCGGACTTGTATTGCCCATTTGGTGCGAAATTAATTTGAAATCGGATAAAAATATATATGGGAACTATATCCAAATCTGAACCGATCTCGATAAAATTTGGCAAAGATATTTCTGAGCTGTATTTGA